GTCTGCAGGAAAGCCCGCACCCCGTCCACGCCCACAAAGTGCGAGGCCGGCACGCCCACCAGCCCGCCTCCGGAAGCCTGGAGCAGACGCGACGCGTGCCAGCGCCTCAGCCTGAGCGCCAGCAGCACGATGACAAAGGCCAGGAAGACGCACGAGACTGCCGCCACCGCCACCACCAGGCTCTGCTTGAGCGCGTCTCTGTCCAGCAGGGCCCGCGCCGTGCGCACCTCGCCCGTGTGCAGCCCCACCGCGAAGAGCCCTGGCTCGCTCGCCTTGAGCAGGCGGTAGGACAGCCAGGCGTTCTGGCCCGAGTCTCTGTCCACCGCCACCACCTTGGTGACCAGGTAGCCGGGCTCTGCGGATCGCGGTGCCAGCTCCACGCCGGTGGAACCATCGGTGGGGGGGGCGGGGTACAGGATCTCTGGTGTGTTGTCATTCTGGTCCAGCACAAATATGCTGACAGACACATTGCTGCTGAGTGGCGGCTTCCCGCTGTCCTGCGCTGTCACCCACAGTTGCAGGTCACGGAACTGTTCATAGTCAAAGGAGCGCAGTGCGTACAGGGTGCCAGTGTCTGAGTTGATGGAGATGTAGGAGGATAAAGGTTCTCCCTGGAGGGTATCTTCCACCAAGGAATAAGTGACCTGGGAGTTCTCACTGCTGTCCAGATCAATCGCCATCACTGAGAAGAAGGAGGCTCCTCTGGCGTTGTTTTCAGGTATGTAGACAGAGTAAGATGAGTCAGCAAAAGTCGGAGGATTATCATTGTCATCCGCTACGTTTAGTGAAATGTGAGTTTCTGTAGACAAGGGTGGAAATCCCTGATCTGTGGCTCTCAAGGTTATATTATAGCTGTGGACCTGCTCCCTGTCTAGCATTCTAGTTGTTATCAACTTGTAATAATTTCCGTAAGTTTTTTCCAACTTAAAAGGTAGACTGTTAAGAACGAAACATGAGACTTGACCATTTTCCCCAGAGTCTTGATCTTGCACATTTAGAAGAGCAATAACTGTACCTGGAGGAGAGCTTTCCAGAACTGAATTAGTAGAAGATGTGATAGTTATTTCTGGAGCATTATCATTGACATCCACAACTGTGATCAACATCTTAGCAGTGGTGGAGAGACCTCCACCATCTTGACCTTGAATTTCTATCTCATAGAATCTATATTTCTCAAAATCCAGAGACCCTCGTATTAAGACTTCTCCAGTTTGAGAATCCAACTGGAATATTTCAGAAGTTTTGCTTTCCATATTCTGGAATGAATACCCCACTTCCCCATTGATTCCCTCATCTGGATCAGTTGCATTTACCATGAGCACCCGAGTTCCAGAGCTGAGATTCTCAGGAATACTCACTCGATATACAGACTGTGTAAACTTTGGTACATGGTCATTTACATCGAGGACCACCACACGAATGGCAACAGCACCCTGTTGGATGGGATCTCCTCCATCGAAGGCTGTGAGGAGGAGCCGGTGAGCAGCCTCTTTCTCTCGGTCCAGACTCCCCTCCAGCACTAGTTCGGGATTCTTGGCCCCACCCGTTCCGTCTCGCATTTGTAAGGAAAAGTAACTATTAGGATTGAGCCGGTAGCTCTGGAGGGAGTTCATTCCTACATCTGGGTCCCTAGCGCTAGGAAGGGGAAATCTGGATCCCGGAGGTGCGTGCTCACTGACTTTTATCTCTATTTCCGCCTCCTGGAAGCTGGGGGCGTTATCATTAACATCCATTATTTCCACCTCCACTCCGTAAATCTTCAGGGTATCTTCCACAAGTATCTCTATATTTAAAAAACAGGAAGACAGTGTCTCACAGAGCTCTTCCCGGTCTAACCTACCTGCAGTGATCAAGCTGCCACTTCGCGGATTCAGAGCGAAAAGCTGCATCCTATCTCTGGAGATGATGCGGACTCCGCGTTCCGCCAGCTCCCAAGGTTCCAGCCCCAGGTCCTTGGAAATATTGCCCACGAAGAAGCCTTTGTCTGTCTCTTCGGGCACCGAGTATCGGATGTGCCCTGCCCCAGATTCCTGTAGCGTCCTCAGGAAAATGTACAGGAGGACCAGCCCGCTGCGGTCCAGGCGCAGCAGCCGATTCCCCATAGCAGTAAGCTGAGCCTATATTC